AGGGGAGCAGCTTGCTCCCTGCCACTTAGCTGTTTCAGGATGTCTTGTACAGTCCTTTAAAGGGACTGCAGAAGTCAGCATGAAAAACTGGGGAGGGAGCACCCTCTGGAAGGGACTTCTCCTTTCCCTTTCTGCTCGTGGCTATCTCCTGCCAGCAGAAAGGGAAGGAAGAAGTTCTTCCTGGAAGTGACTTCTCCCTCAGCTTTCTGCTGGTGGTGATCCACTGCCAGCATAAAAGAGGGAACTGCCTCCTGGAAGGGACTTCTCCCTTCCCTTTCTGCTGCTAGTGAGCAGAAAGCAGGGCTATTTAAACCCTGCCTTCTGCTTCCTGCGAAAAGCCACAAGGAACAGAAAGCAGTGGTGATTTAAGTGGCTGATTTCTGGTCCCTACGAAAAGCCATGGGGAGCTGAAAGCAGGGTTTAATTGGCTCCCAGCCTTTTAAACCAAACAGTTGAGTGGCAGAGAGCTCCCAGCCCCTCAGCTGTTTCTCGTGAAGAGCAGAAAACAGGGATAAACCCCAGTGTTCTGCTCTTCACAAATGCTCCCAAGGCACCACAGATTGCCCAGAAATTCACTGAAGTTAGTTGTGGCTCTTCAGTTCACAAACTTTGGTTCATGAGCCACAAACAGGCCAAAATTTGTGATGAACTTTAGTTTGTCTGCCGGTTCGTGCCTGTCCCTCTTCCTCTTCCTGGGTTCCACTTACCTCATTCTCTTGAAGGACGTGCTCTAACTGAAGACAACCCTTCAGGGCAGCAGCCACCACTTTCTTCCGTTTCTTCAGGAAAATCTTTTCATCTGAGCACAGATCATAGTCTAGTCTCACATCAAGTTGTTTTGGGGTTTTCCACAGCCAGCCTTCAGTCCTAAGAGCAAAAAGAACACATTGGATTGGCTTTAGATGTTGCCATATGGTCTAAAAAATTACATTTGTACATGTGCACTCAAGGATTTTTGTTTTATTTCTAGTACAGTTGTACTTTTGCCCCATATTGAACCAGAAGCTGTTGTTTTAAGTAGCAAAACTGGTTACCGTTCAACAGGATCAAAGCTATCATTGTAAGAAGGTGAAAAAGATGTCTACATGTATGGACAATAGCCATAATGTGGATATGTTAAAACGTAACATATCTAGCTGCGGTGGCTCAAGTGGTTAAGACGCTGAACTGCAGGCTGTGGAAGGTTGCTAGTTCAGCAGTTCGACCCGGGTGCCGCATGACAGAGTGAGCTCCCGTCTCTAGTTCCAGCTCCTGCCAACCTAGCAGTTCGAAAGCAAGAAATTGCAAGTAGATAAATAGGTACCACTTCAGTGGGAAGGTAACAGCGTTCCGTGCACCTTGGTGCTTAGTCATGCCGGCCACATGACCACGGAAATGTCTTCAGACAGCGCTGGCTCTTCGGCTTTGAAACAGAGATGAGCACCGCAACCCTAGAGTCGGATTCAACTGGCTTTCGAGCAAGGGAACCAATCTAGGCACATTTTGAACAAATCTTTTGTTCCTGAACCTTATGAACCTCGCTTTTTTCCAGACTAGTATTGTATTTCTTCTCTTCTCCTTTTTTGCTTATGCCAAGATTAAAGATGAAAGTGTGCAACTAACTCCTAATTATTTGAAATGTCCATCTGCAAATACCTTCACTAACAAATGCTTATTTCTTTTCCTGCAGCTGGTTAAGAATCCCAGAACTTTACACAGAAGCCACCTTTGTCATGACTATCTGAAATATTACCGCGTGAAAGGAAGCAGCAGGGAGCATGAAAGCCTGGCAATTAATCAGGTTTGTACCTGTCCTGAGCAAACCAAGATGTGTTCCTGGTATCTGAACTGAGCCTTAGATACACGGTTACAATCTAAAGAGTTAAGTGTATTTAAACCTAGTGAAATAAGTGGCTTTAAATACGCTTAAAACATTGTGGACTGTGAGCCACTTGATCCACACTGGCATGGTGCATTAATATCTGATTAAAGAGCAGACATACTAATTTTCAATGCTTTTAATGGAAGTTTCCTCAGTTTCCTATTACAGATGAAGCACTTTCACACACATGAGTACAGATTGGAATTGCTACTTTGTATTTCAAATGTATATTGCAAGAAGAAAGGTCTTCCATAAGGTATATCCAAGAGAGCAGCTGTGTTGATCTGAAGCAGTGGAACAAAGTCTGAGTCCAGTGGCAAGACCAAGGAAGGTTTTGAAATATACTGGGTTCAGACGCGTAGAAGTGATCAGCTCATAGTTTATTAGTGATTCAGCAAGAGAAAGAAGACTCACTATCCCTGGCTGAAGCCAGGTATTTATGCCTGAAAACGGTTACACTCAAAAACACCCCACTCCCAACAATAGTCTATTTACACTCTATTGTTTCCCAATTGGTTTACTCTAGGATCCTTATCTCCCTACTGGTCCATTCTAGGATCCTAGCAATCTATTGTTATGCATCCCAAGCTCAGTCCTTTTGCAAGGACAGTTCAGGCTCAATACATAACACCCCTCCCCCCAAGGTTCAGAGCCTCTTCAACTGACGAAGTCCTTTAAGTACGCTGGTCGGCGCTGCTCACGGTTCGAGTGGCGTGGTTCCACTGATGGGGCTGCAGGTTCAGGAACCATGTCAGGTGCCTGCCCCGCCGCCAGACTGGGAGAGGGTGATGGCGCTGGGACGTTGTCAGGGCCACCAGTGGCGGCGGCTGCTGGCATTCCGCCAACGGCCTCTGAAAGCTGTTCATTGATTTCTGGCTGGGTGCTGCTGGTGGGCATGTTCTCCTCAGGCTTGGGCTCCTCTGAGCTTAGTAGATCCTCGTCACTGTCTTCTGGTGTGTGTATCCCAGGTTCAGCGGGGAGGAGACGGCGGGGCTATGTGTCAGCGGAGCCTCTGGCCGTCTTCTGTGGATACCTCCTATGATAGCGGCCCGGTCACCCTTATAACCTTGGCGGGGACCCAGGCTGGGCCGCTGGAGAAGTTACATGCATAGATGGAAGAACCTGTGGGGAGCGGCTTGATTCTCTGGGGCCAAGCTGTGCTCCGGAGCGCGGTCCGGGTGCAATCAATCGAGATGGGTTGTGAGGCACATTCCCATTGGGAGTTCCACGGGGCTGCGGCTGGTGGTTGTGTTTGGGGTTACTCACTGGCCCAAGAGGAAGGCCGCCAGTCCTGTGGAGGGACTCCTTAGTCATTCTCACCATCCGCTCAGCCTGGCTGTTAGTTGCGGAGTGGAAGGGAGCAGAGCGAATGTGTCAGATGGCATAGTAGTCTGCGAATTCCCGAAACTCAGATGAGGTGAAAGCCGTCCTGTTGTTCATTACGATAGCGTCTGGAATGTCATGTGAGCTGAAGATCTGCCATAGGGTGCAAATTGCTGCTCGGGATGATGTGGAGGGGACCGGCACCACTTCTAGCAATTTGGAGTATGAATCCACTGGGATGAAGAAGATCTGGCCCTGGAATGGGCTCGCAAAGTCGAGGTGCAGGCAGGCCCATGGCTTGTGGGAGGACTCCCACTGATGCACCAAGGCCCTCGGGGGCTCCGGCCAGGACTCTTGGCATGTCTGGCAGTGTTTAACACAGTCCTCAATTTTGCTGTCCATGCCAGGCCACCAAACGTAGTTGTGGGCTAGCGCCTTCATACGCACAATTCCCACGTGCGTTTTGTGTAAGGCTGCTAGGACTCACTGGCATAGCGGAGCGGGTACAACCACCCAGCTTCCCCACAACAAGAAGCCCTTGTAGGCCGACAAATCGTCCTGGCATGAGGAGAATGTGGCAAACTCTGGGCCCACCTGGCTGGTGAGTCAACTCCTCCCCACCCAGTCCAAAATGCAGGAGAGCACGCAGTCCCGTGTGGTGTGGTGGGACACATCGGGTACCTGGATGGGATGGTCAGGCAGTTCCTCAAGGAGCAGAATCTGGTGTGCAGGCACTGGGTCCGTGTCACAGGAGGGCAGCAGGAGGCGGCTGAGACCGTCTGTGTGATGCATCACTTTACCGGGCCTGTGGATGAGCGCACACTGGTAGCCAGCCAAGAAGATAGACCATCGGAGCACCCTAGGGGACAGCATCTGTGAAGTCTGGCGATCCAAAGCCAACAGACACAGGAGGGGGTTGTGGTCTGTTATGATGGTGAAAGGCCCCCCTTAGAGGTAGTTGTGAAACTTCTTGACACCAGCCATGATTGCCAGCACCTCTTTGTCAATCTGCACATAGTTGTGCTTGGCCAAAGACAAGGTATGGGAGTAGTAGGCCACGAGGGCCTCGTGGCTGTCGGGCAGCTTGTGTCCAAGGACAGCCCCCACCCCACACGGGGATGCGTCGCAGGCAAGGACAACAGGGAATGTCTCATCGAAGTGCGCTAGGACTGCATTGGAGGTGAGCAGGTCCTTGACGGCCCAGAATGCGGTGGCATGCTTCTGGCCCCACACCCAAGGCGCTTTTTTATTGAGAAGGTGGTGCAGGAGCTCGGCAATTGCAGACTTGTGAGGCAAGAAGGAATGATAGAAGTTCAACAGCCCCAAGAAAGCCTGAAGTTCCAGCTTAGAGAAGGAGGTTGGAGCATCAACGATGGTGCAGTCCTTGTCGGGCGTCAGATGGATGCCTTGAGCATTGACCAAGAACCCCAGGAACTCAACTCTCAGAACCCCCAGGAGGCATTTTTCCTGCTTCACCTTCAGGCCAGCGGTGTGGAAACGTTGCAGAATGGTGCACAGCCTCTTGGCAAAGGTCTCGGCCTTGGGGGCAATGATCAAAACATTGTCGAAGAATGGCTGGACCCCAGGGATACCTTTAAGGAGACAGTCCATTAGATTTTGAAAGATTCCCCGGGGCCACACTGACCCTGAATTGCAGCTACCACACCTGGAACGCACCCCTGTGCATCATGATCGTCTGGGCCTCTGCAGTGGCATTGTCTATGGGGAGCCGCTGGTACACCTGGGCCAAGTCCAATTTGCCGAAAAACTTTGCACCCGCCAAAGATGCCAAAACATGGCTGACTACTGGAACGGGATAAGCGTGGTCCTGTAGGGCTTTGTTTTGTTTATGGTGCACTTATAGTCCACACAGATATGGATGTCCCTGTTGGGCTTCACCGCGGTGACGATGGGGGTCTCCCAGAGGGCATGTGACACTGGCTCTAAAAAACCCTGTGCTACCAGGCAGTCCAGCTCTCCATCTATCTTGGGCCGCAACGCAAATGGGACGCACCTGGCCTTCATATGGATGGGGCGTACAGCTGGGTCGAGATCTAGGGAGACCGGCGGACCGGTGTAGCGACCAAGTATCCCATCGAAAATGGCCGGGAACCTGTCACACATGTTGCTGAAGTTCGTAGGCTGCACGTGATGCACCCCCGTCACCCTGAACCCCAGGGGAGTGAACCATGACAAACCCAGTAAACTAGTATGCCTCCCTTCCACCACCGACAAATCTAAAAGTCCTTCAAAGTTCTTATACTGCACATGGAACTTGCCCCCCCTTAATGGCCGCCGGGTTCTTTTGGAAGTCTCTGAGGTTGAAGCCTGTGGGTTTTAGATGGGGACCCCCATGCAGGCAGAGCTTCCTGAGAATCTCTTCTGAGATTATGGAGATGGAGGACCCCATGTCCAACTCCATTTCGCAAGGAGCCCCCTCTATTAACACAGTTACTTTAATTTTGTTAGGAGTGTCCTGGGACAAGTGTAGTACCTGGTGTTGGTGGACAGCTGTATTGTGGAGCTCTGCGGATTCCTGGTGAGTGGTTGGATGATGCCAGTTTCCACAGGAGTGGCAGACTCATGCGATGTGGCCTTGTTTTCCGCAGGTTTGACAGATTGCATCATGGAAATGGCAGGAATGGTGTTCGTGCTCTTCACTGCAGCTGGTGCAAGGCTCTTGAGCGATGGTCTTCGCGGGCTGCAGGGCAGTCACAAATGGTGGGCGTGAGTCCCGGCGAGCCGGGTGGTGTACCTGGAGTATTTCTTCCTCATCCGAGGTGTCGGAGGCCAGGGATGTGGAGGCCTGATGCGTGGAGTGGACCTGGTGATCCCATTGTGCCTTTTCAAAAGCTGTGGCCATGCGTAGTGCCTTGTCCAGTTTGAACTCGTTGGTACCGATGAGTTTGTGGCGGAGTTTCTGTTCATGGACGTCCCAGATGATCTGTGTTAAGAGGGTGTCCTCAGGATCTGGGAATTCACAGTTTATGGCCAGCCTGGGGAGATCAGCTATGAAGTCGGTGGCCGCTTCACCAGACTTTTGGTGGTGCGCTAAGACGTCCATGTGCTTCGCCATCTTGGTTGGTTGAGGTGCGAAATGGCCAGTGAGGGCTTTGACAAGTTCATCGTATGTGGCTGCTTCAAGGGTTTTAGGAGTGACGAGGCCCTGGGCTAGGGGTAGCATGGCGATACCACATGTGCTGAGCAGGAACGACTTCTTGTCTGTGTCGTCTATGCCTTGGAACCGAACGAAGTACTTCAGCTGCTCTACCCATGCTTCCCAATGCTCAGGGTGAGCGGGGTCGAACACAGGAATAATTCCCAGAGCAGCAGCCATGACCCGTGGAGTAATGCGAGGCACGGAGTCCTGGAGATGGTTGTGCGGTGTGGTGCTGGAGGCTGGGTCAGGCTCACTCATGGGGATCCCATCCTTGTCACCAGTGAAATATACTGGGTTCAGATGCTTAGAAGTGATCAGCTCATAGCTTATTAGTGATTCAGCAAGAGAAAGAAGACTCACTATCCCTGGCTGAAGCCAGGTATTTATGCCTGAAGAGGGTTACACCCAAAAATACCCCACTCCCAATGATAGGCTATTTACACTCTATTATTTCCCAATTGGTTTACTCTAGGGTCCCTGTCTCCCTACTGGTCCATTCTATGATCCCAGCAATCTATTGTTATGCATCCCAAGCTCAGTCCTTTTGCAAGGACAGTTCAGGTTCAATACAGAGCCGCCCTGAGCCTTCTCTGCGGGGAGAGCAGGGTATAAATTTGACAATAAATAAATAAATAATACACAACAGGTTTATTCAAGGGATGAGCTTGCATGTGCACACTGGACTCAAATGTTGTTCCCTTAAGGTATAAACATTCTTCAACCATCGTAACTGTATGAAGCAAGAGTAGCATGGGATACATTTTTCATATTAAATCAACCTGGAAGAAAACCCTCTAAACCAAGTCTTCAAACATCCTATTAGAAAACAACATTTCCTCCTCTCTTGCTCTGGGCCTCACCAAAAATATTTTAGGTGGCCAGGAAACCCAGAATGTCAGCCAAGATCTTGTAAGGTAGTTGTGTGATATCTCAGACAACTTCCTTTGTTCTCAAGGCAACCTAAAATGGCAACTGAAATCTCATGTGGTAGTTGTTTGAGATCCCAGCATTTGAAAACTTTCTTAATTTCATTTAATAGCACTTCTTAGCCCCATGTTGGTCTATAAGTCAACTCTGGGTATCCAACTTTCTGAATTTATTAATCAACATGGCAGTGGGGACAACTAAGATTAATGTATGATGAAGCAACAAAATTATCACTTAACTTAAATGACTGTGTGGGATGACTTTTAAAGAAGACATACTTTTTGTGTGAAGACATAAATATAATATATTTATAATAACTTGTCAAACATTTTGGTGGTATAAAAATGTGGAAAGTCTCTATGCCAGCACCAATAGCACCAAGGAAACTTTGAACAGCTGTCACTAAGATTTTCATTTGATATTTTGCAACAGAGATGCATTTTTGGTAGCAATGATTCTTCTATCCTAATTAACAACACATCCTAGCACAGACAGGTGCATATGATTGTGGAAACAGGGAACATTTTCAGTGCATTTCTTCTAGGGATTTTTACCATTCTAAAATGCTGACAGATAAAACTTCTAGTTCCTTATCTTAGGATTCATTTTGCTCAAGGTAGCTCATGTGCCTAACCAAAGACTGTATAAAAGGAATGTGGTAGAAGACAATGATCTGAAACAGATAGTGAACCATCATGTCTACCAAGCCTTCTGTGGCCCAATTCAATTGTAAGCAAATGCTGAATTAGGACAGGATGCTCTAGTGAATATTTTCAGCTTCTGTAGATATTCTGGAGCTGGTGGGATAAATATTGGGTGGCATTGGCAATGATACAAACACAAGACTGGAGATTGTACCTGTTGTAAGGTGACTGAGGCTTTGGTTTCTACCTATTTTTTGGATGGGGCAGGGAAACCTTACTGATTCAATGGCAAGATAAAAGCCATAAGAACATAAGAGATGCCAATGTTGGATCAGGCCAAAGGCCCATCCAGTCCAACACTCTGTATCACACAGTGGCCAGAAATACCAGTGCCATCAGGAGGTCCACCAGTGGGGCCAGGACATTAGAAGCCCTCCCACTGTTGACCAAGCATGGCCTTTCAGATGTGCTACTTCATTGTCACAGTCAAGAAGTGACTAATACTAGCAATAGGGAACATGAGTATTTTTCTTGAAAATGTTAGGTGATCATGACAATTACATGTTATTCTCTTCTGTTTTGTTAAATGTTTCCAGAAAATGGTTACAGCCCAGTTGTTCCCAAATGAGAAACATAGGCAAGCCCAGGTTTACCACCAAGTGTACATTCAGTGAGCTGCAGCCAACCATGATTCCCTTGACAAATGACTGACATGCCTTTTTTACATTCCCACTTTTGTATTTCGTTAGGTGTAGGCTTAAATATCTTACTTGTATCCTTTAAATATGGAATGTGTGAAATGGACTAATTCTGTTGTGGCATGGTCCACCAAGGCAATCCTGGTTGTTTCCATGAGACTCCATACAAAATTAGGATAAGAAAAGGATGGGAGAAAGAAGAGCAGGGAAGTGTTTGTGGATTTTTAGTTAGGCTTTAGGAAAGGTTCTCTTACCAATCTTTTGACGTCACATCCAACTCAAATGTTTTGTTCTGGGGGGAAAAATAAAGAGTACATGCATTTCTTCAAAGCCACTGGGATATTAAAGGTTTCATTAATTTCAGTTTTAGAAAGCATTTTACTATCTCTAACATTTCCTGGCTCCTTCTTAAATAATAATATCAGGTAAAGCTTCTGCCTCTTTATCATAAGATCAATTTTAGACATTTAGACAGGAAAATTTTGCCACAGGTGAAAAACAAGGAAGAGAGATGTGTTTGCTTTTCCAATTATCAATGGTGGTATAAATGCACCTTGGATTACTCTATAAAAGGTATTGGTGCATTACTTGATCCCAAAAGTCAACAATTAACTCTCACCTGTGGTGCTGTCACATTCTCTTTCATGGGAAGTGAATTCAGGGGAACACTCATTATCTCATTTGGATCCCCGGAAGCCTGCATTAAAAAAAATGGCATTACTTACCACAAGAAAAACTTTATAAAGCAATCCACATTGTTTCCTAAGGCCAGCACCAGATGCTGGCATACATGGGCAGTTGCTGAGGCCCCAGAGCCCTGGCAGGGCTGAACGCAAGCCTCTCTCCTGCTCCATCCACAGTGCAGCAGCCATCATTCTTATCTGTCTTCTCTCTTTGAGTGGCAGTAGTAGGATGGGTGCCTCCCCTCATCAGTCTGTCATTATTACACACTGAATCAAAATGTCATAGAATCATAGAGTTGGAAGGGATCTCCAGGGTCATCTAGTCCAACCCACTGCACAATGCAGGAAATTCACAAATACCTCCCTCCACACCCCCAGTGACCGCTGTTCCATGCCCAGAAGATGACAAAAAACCTCCAGGATCCCTGGCCAAACTGACCTGGAGAAAAATTGCTTCCTGACGCCAACGTGGCAATCAGTCTTTCCCTGGGCATGTAAGAAAGGGCCAGAAGAACCAAGCACTGAGGCAGCCCTTCCTGCCCTCCCTCTCATGATCTGCCTAAGTTCACAGAATCAGCATTGCTGTCAGATGGCCATCTAGCCTCTGTTTGAATACCTCCAAAGGAGAGCCCACTACCTCCCTAGAAGCCTATTCCACTGAGGAACTGCTCTGTCAGGAAGTTCTTCCTAATGTTTAGCCAAAAAGTCTTCTGATTAAATTTCAGCCCATGGGTTCTGATCCATGCCAGGCAGCCTCACCACTAGCTTCCTCTAGGCAGAAGAGCCAGGGACCAAGCAAGAGGTGGAAGTGGCTGATACAAGGCAGAACAATCTCCCACTGCATGGGCAAGCTGAGCTAGATAGCACCGACACTGACTTGGGAGAAGAATTGGGGCTGCTGGGCTACAAAGGGATGAGTCAGAACAGCCAGAGTGACTGGGCCTAGCTCAATGATAATGAAGTAGCAGGGCTGGGTTAAAACATGGGAGTTTGAGGCTGAAACAATACAGAGATTATTGGAGGATGCCTGCAAACCCCATCTGGAGTCTGCCCTACTGGGGGATTATGGGGTTGGCCTACCCCCAGGAACCAAGCCAATGGGAGGTCAAGGAGAAAGGGCCAGACGTGTCCTACATTGTCTAGGGAGAGGCTGCTGGCTGGAGGGAGAGGGGCCCAGGGGCACTGCCAACCCCCCTCTTCTCTGTATTCTGAGACCCTTCCTGAGACCTGGCTGACCAAAAGAAGGTCCCAGATGGTATGGCAACCCTAGATTCTGCCCCGGGCAAGTAAGAGCCAGACAGGCAGCTTAACATACCACCACTTAGTGGGAAAGGGTAGGCAAGTGCTTCCTGCTTCCTCCTGCTGTCTCTCATCCAGATAATTCCTGGCCAAGCAAGTGAGCTAGTACCAATGATGACTAGAAGAAGCCATCACCACTCCAATTAGCTGCCCTCTCCCTGTTGCTCACCTGCTGCTCATAGCTACTGACTTTCCCATGCAGATTAGCAGGAAGGCAGCAGCAGCAGCAACCACCAGCCCAGTATGTTGGAGAGAGGAAATATCATCACAGGCTGTACCTCAGGTGTATGAAAGGGAACCACCAGATGTCATCAAGTCCTTCCCCCCCCCAAAAAAAAACCATGTTGCCTCTATTTCCATCAGTTCTTTTTCAAATCTAGCATGGCAGTCTCTTCATTAAGACAAGGGATAACATACCGAACAGAGCCACCTTGGGAGTTCAATGTCCAGTTCTGACGGGAAATATTTGATATAGTGAAATTTAACAGGAGACGCGGGACAAAGCCAGTTGCGCAACGTGAGCTCCTGGGGTCCTTCATGGGATCCACCAACTGAAAGATTGAATCTTCGTTCTAAAAGAAGGTTGGGGGGAAAATCCTGAATATGTTGCAAAACTTTTTATTTTTGGATATAACAACATATTCAACATTACATTTCAAATAACATATATCCATATCTCTTATCTCCTCCCCCCCCTCATGGTGGCTTCCCACAATGCTCCTCCCTCCATTTCCTCTTATATTTTTATTATCTATTCACATTTTAATTCATAAGTTTCCAGGTAACAATATTTTACTCTATTCATTCAATACTTTTATATATTCTTGCTCTTAATAATTATCAAAACACAGTAAATTATGTTTTACATCCCAATTTTTTTCTAAATATTCTTTAAAGTCTTTCCATTCTTCAAAAAAAATTGATCTTCTTTGTTGTTGTTTCCTTGTTAATTTGTCCATTTCGGCCATGAATAACACTTTCTGTATCCATTCTCCTTTTTCTGGTATTCTGTCTTGTTTCCAAAATTGTGCATAAGTCATTCTAGCAGTTGTTATCAAATACCACAGCAATGTCTTTTTTGTTACATTTACTTCTTCCATCTTAAGTCCTAGAAGTAAAATCTCAGGTTCTTTTTTAAAGGTACATTTCAAAATTTTCTGCATCTCACTATGGACTTCTGTCCAAAAAGTCATAGCTTTATCACAAGTCCACCACATGTGGTAAAAAGAGCCTTCTTGTTTCTTACACTTCCAACACTTATTAGACATGCTTTGGTTCATAATTGCTATTTTTTTTGGCGTCATATACCACCTGTACATCATTTTATAGCAATTTTCCTTCACATTAATACAAGTCGATATCTTAATTGAATTTTTCCACAAATATTCCCAAGATGACATTGTCACCTCTTTATTCATATTTACACCCCATTTAATCATTTGCTCTTTTACTGATTCGTCTTCTGTAAACCATTTTAACAAAACCTTATAAAGATTTGAGATCATTTTATTCCCTCTTACCTCCCATATACATTCTATTTCATTTTTTCCTCCCTAAATCCAAACTTTTTTTGTCAGTCTTAAACAAGTCACAAATCTGTATATAATTCAACCAATCGTACTCAAAGTCTAGCTCCTCTCTCTCCTTCATCACAAAATTTTTCCCATCTTTTTTCAAAACATCTCTATATGGTAGCCAATCTTCGCCTTTATGTCTCGAATATGGTGTGATTACTTCTGCTGGTACAATCCAAAGTGGTCTTGCTTTAAATCCTGAATATTTTGTAAATGATGGAAATGTAGGCCAGACAGTAGTTTGGATCAAGTGAATTCCAGCACCTCCTTGTAATTAGATGAAACACGGCTTCCTGTCATCTTCATTATGAACTAAAGAGTACTAGTGGTTTTTTAAAAGTAGAATGTGTTACAGAGCTCTATTTGCAAGCAGGGCTATCTCAGCTGCTTCAGTGCCAAAGATGCACAGTGGGGGAGTGAGCCTATTATTTTCACTGACATGGCCCTGTCAGTATGGCATTGTGTGTGTCCAGTGGAGTCTCAGAAGGCTTCAGATGCATTAAGAAGGTTTTATCTTCCAACATTTTCAGAAACAACAGCAACTGTACCAGCATCATTAAAGTCAGTGTTCAGTTTCTCCTGATATAACCATCCTTATTATCATCTCTTCAATCTGTGTTTAATACAAAACGTCACTATGCTAGAACCAGGGACAGCTAAATATTCCTCTTTTAATAATACGCAACTAAGATTTCTGTAAGAACCATTCTCAGAATCCCAGTGTTTTATGTAATGGTATGTAAAAATAATAAGGTTGCTTTTATTTTTGCATATACCTAACACAGTCTTTTATCATTTATAATCCATTCTGAATTGCTGATATGTTTAACATAAACAGTTAGAATGGGCATGAGCATCGGAGCTTGCTCAAGAAAGGGTGAAGGAATCACTTACAGAAAAGCAGGTGGTGGTTAGTTTTTGGCATAATATAACAATTAATTGAAGTGACCTACGTGTTGAATCCTTCTGCATTCTCCCATTGTCCACTTGAACTTCCAAACAGGCAACTTCACGAGACTGTAACAGAGAAAAACAGAGGAAAATGCAGGACTAACTCTGCCCCAGCCTGGCTCTGCTATGAAAATGAAAAGTGATGCAAAGACCCTAAACCAAGGATTGATATGAGTGTATAGTCTTCAGAGCCCTGTTTACTGTGCTAGAACAAAGCAAACAAGTGCATTTGAGTATGTTGTGGTATACTTTTGAGCAGCCAGAACCAGCAGCCACAAATTAGGGACTATAATGTTAAAGTTCCAGGTAAAATGCTGCAAATTCAGGTAAATTTGAGCCCTTTCTTCTCATTCTCACAGTTTAAAATGACAAAGTTTAACCCTACTAATTTTAATGAGTGTATACTGATCTCCAATATCTCTCTTGCTATCCTATCTATAAATGCCAGTTCCCAATGCGCCAACTCTGCCGGGTTTGTGAATAAAAACTTATCTCTTTGGACATTTTACTGGTCTTTGCCATCAGCATCATCAATAATCAATCTGTTTTAATGTTTATATATATCTATTTTAATGGCTCCCAATAACTTCTGTAGGACAAACTTCATGGACTGCAAACTAGAAGAGTATTAAGGTACTGTTGGCTATCATTTACTCAGAGAGAGAGAAAGAAAGATACACTTGGGGACACTGTTATGGAGGAGGACAAACCCTTACATTAGCCCCTGGTCCCCCAGAGGTCCCCTCCCCTATATACATGCCTTATCCACAGTACCATAGAGAACAGAAACTGACTTGCAATAGGAATAGTTTAGGTAAAAAAGTAAAAGTGGGATCTACATGGATTCATGTGATTTTTATGTTGAAACAAAATAAAACCACCATCATACTGTAGACCAAGGGGAGTTTTGTAGAAAAAGAGCTAGGGGAACTCATTAGCATATGCCACACACCCTGACATCAGGGGCCCGGCGGTGGACCTGCAAGGCCGGCAGGAGTGCGAGGAAGCCCCGCCAAGGTCCTCCCTGGCCCCAGGCAGGCAGGGGTGGGGAGAGGTGGGGAGGAAGCAACTTACCCTCCCTCTTCTCCTGCCTGAATGAGGGCCGGAAGTGGGGTGGCCAGAAGCAAGGGGCGGGGCTTCATCGTGTGCCCCGCCCCTCGCACCTCACCCGGGGGAACTGCGATCCCCCGCGATCCCCCCTGAAATGACCTCTGCTGTAGACCATGTCTTAGTCTATAGGCAGTACCACAAAAAATCATGCCTCCACAGATTTGTGGTGCCACAACAGTGCAAAAGCATTGTTCTAAAGCATGGAACCTCATGGATCCTCCAGGTTTTTGCTTTGGTTCACCCCAGCATTACCATCAAATCACATATTATGTCCATGGGCACAGCTTGCACCCCAAAAATCATAGATCCACAGCTTCATGACAACATCATGCTGCAAAAACATGGTTCTGGGCCTTCTTTATTGCAGTCACACACTGTCTCGACATTTTCAGTGAGTTATGGATCCTTGGCCTTTTTGCATTTGGTCACCATGTACTCAACATCAGATCACATATCATGTCCATGGGCACAGCTTGCACCATAGAAATCACAGATCCACAGCTTTGTGGCAACAGCACACAGCAAAAATTTGGTTTTGTGCCATGTTGTTGCACAAACCTATGGATGCGTGATTTTTGTGATGCAAGCTCTGCCCATGAACATGGTATGTGATTTGATGGTGACGCTAGGGTGACCTGAAGCAAAAATCCAGAGGATCCGTGAGGATCCATTGTTCAGAACCATGTTTTTGCTCCATGTTGCAGCCACAAAGCCGTGGATCCATGATTTCTGCAGTGCAACCTCTGCACATGGATATGATATGTGATTGGATAGTGAGCTTTGAGTGACCCAAAGCAAAAATTCTGAGGATCTATGAGTATTCATGGTGCAGAACCATGTTTTTGCTGCATAGTGTCACCATGAAGCTGTGAATCCATGATTGTTTTTGTGTAAGGTGTGGCTATAGACATGACATGTGATTTGAGTGTGAGCTTGCAGTGATCCAAAGCAAAAACCCAGAGGATCCATGAGGATCCATGCTCCAGAACCATTTTTTTACTGCATGGTGTTGCCACAAAGCTGTGGATATGTGATTTCTGTGATGCAAGCTCTGCCTATGAACATGGTATGTGATTTGATGTTGATGTTGGGGTAAACCAAAGCAAGAATCATGAGGATCCATGAAGATCCATGGTTCAGAACCATTTTTTTGTTGCATGGTGTTGCCACGAAGCTTTGGATCTGTGATTTTTGTAGAGTAAGCTGCACCCATGGACATGACATATGATTTGATGGTGAGCTTGGGTTGACCCAACACAAAAACCCTGAAAATCCTTGAGGATCCATGCTTCAGAACCATGTTTTTGCACAATGCTGTCACTATGAAGCCATGGATCAGTGACTTTTGTGGTGTAAGCTTTGCCTATGTCCATGATATGTGATTTGATGATGATGTTGGGGTGACCCAAAGCAAAAAATTATGAGGATCCATGAGGATCTGTGCTTTGGAACCATGTTTTTGCTCCATGGTGTCACCACAAAGCCGTGGATCTGTGATTTCTGTGGTGCATGGACATGGACATGATATGTGATTTGATGGTGATGTTGGGGTAACCCAATGCGAAGACCCTGAGTATCCATGAAGATCCATGCTTTGGAAACTTTTTTTTTTGCTATTGTGGCACCACAAAGCCGTGGATGCATAATTTTTGCTTTACAATCTGTGACTATTGATATTATAGGTGATCTGATGTGGGATGACCTAGTGCAAGCATCATGAGGATCTATGAGGATCCATGCTTTGGAACCACATTTTTGCACTGTTGTAGTACCACAAATCCATGAAAGTCTGATTTTTGTGGTGCTGCCTATAGTGTAAGACATAATGCTGACAATGTTGACATGGGAGGGGGCTCTTTGGGGGTGGTACTTCCCCCACAGCTGGCTGGCAGCAGGTTGGAGCCCCTGGAATTGGGGGAACCTCTGCCCCGACTGGGGTCTGGCAACCCTAGGTGTATAGAAGGGCAAAAGCAGGTAGGTGGGAGAACAAACAGAAAGAAAGGTAGAAGAGAAAGGAATAACAAAGATCAGTAAGATCCCTGACCTGGATGGCCCAGGCTAGCCCAATCTTGTCAGATCTCAGAAGCTAAGCAGGGTTGGCCCTAGTCAGTATTTGGATGGAAGACCACCAAGGTATATCAGGGTCACAAAACAGAGGCAGGAAATGGCAAACCACCTCTGAATGTCTCTTGCCTTGAAAGCCCCACAGGGTCCCCGTAAGTCAGCTATGACAACAGCAAAAGAGAATGGGGGGGGGAGAAAAAGGGTGGAGGCAAGAAGAGGCAAGGGTGGGAGAAGCAGAAACATTGTGAAGAAAGGGCTAACAAGGAAAAGAATGGGTTTCTCCTTCCCTACCATTCATCAAAGATTCCCTAAGTTGTTTCCTAGCCTCAATGAGTTAAGGATCCCAGAATGTGAATACGTGTTTTATTCTTGCCACTTGGTGGCACTCAGTCACATTGTGGAAGACCTGATGGTTTATGGAAGCCAAAACCCAGTATCTCTACCCTGAGCATGAGTCGTTTCAGGGAATTGTGTGGGCGAACCAAGTGCCAGCAAGTATGAAGTCTAGTTCCAACTAGTCAGTCACAAGAATGCTATTTAGATATACAGATTCCAAGCACACTGACTTTACAGTCTAAGCTCTACTAATTAGTGCTGAGCCAAAGTGGAGGGGCCTGTTTCACAAACATTTTTGCCAAGCATGTTTTCATATTGCTGGGTGACGTGGTGCATAACTGTTGGCAAGAGGTGGGTGTCGAGAGGAAGAGGGGAAATATGCCTAAACCTATGCTTCCTTGCTTGGGATATGCACAAAGAAGGGAGCTTCCCATTAAAAATAATGGAGGGCAGAGGAATGGTACCCATATCTGGATTCTCATACTGTCATCTGAATGTGTATCCAAATGTGGATGTCATTCTCTGAGCAGTATTGGTTTCAGTGAGATGCTATTCAGACACATACTCCAATTTGAGGGAGTATGCACACAAATTCCAAAAGTTTCCTGGTTTTATCTGAATACCCCATTTTGATTTCATTTCTCCCTTGTTCATAATGATAGCCTTAGATGGCGTAAAAAATATAAGGTTCGGCAGCAACACAAATGAGACACTAACCCAAACCAGTGACAAAGATCATACAAAAAAGATCATACCAGTGACAAAGATCATACAAAAAAGAAAAAGAAACTAAAATTGCCATATCAACCCATCCCTAGTGTTGACCTGGTTGTCATGACAACGGGGATCCTTCCTCCCTATTCTCAAGTAGAAGAAATAATGGTGAACCATTATATAATGGTGAACTGTGAACATGGACTGCAAATAAAAGACTGGACAAATCCCTAAAACTTTTGCTGTGAAAATGAAGCTTGGGCTCTGCATTACTGTTAAACATTAAACACTACTATTGAACAATTAAGGAAAGATGATAGCATAGAAAATTACCACTAAGGCTCCATTAGTAACAATCTTTTCTGGAACATCAGGGCTAAAAGGGGAAAAAATAAGGGAAGGGAAAATAACATTACTTAAGTAACTATTTGACAATTGGATGGTAATTTGTGTTTTGCTTACTTTTCCATCAACAATGTTGTAGCTAGAAGTATAGATGAATAACAGATTGTCCATGTAGACCACCTCCCATGTTTGTCATATTGTCTAAGATTTATTTGAAATATTTATAAGCCTGACTTTCTCCTGACCAAGTCAGGACTCAAGATATGAACTATTGCCTGAATCCAGTGATTTCTTGCAGACATGACAGCTCTAATGCACACACATTCTGCTAGGGCTTTGCATCTAATGGTAGTGCCAGCTGCAGTGGTTCTGTGATAGACCATCTGGTTTGCATGCAGAAGGTCCCATTTAAAAGGCTCAAGTAGTAGGCAATATGAGAGACCTCAGACTGAGACCTTGAAAAGCTGGTTGAGTAAACAATAGTATGGTTGATGAGCAGACAGATTCACTATAAGGCAGCTCCATGTGCATGATAGACAAAGCTATCCCTTTTCATTTAAGCAGGCTGGGAAGACTGATTATACAGTATAAACTAGGGATGCTGTGAATTTCACAGCAAGCCTAGAGCAAAGTTGAACATATCCTCTTTGGCACTCATGATCAGACTCTGAGCCAACCAAGGTTACATTTACCTTGCACCAGACAACTCAAAAAACTGCTGAACAAATTTGCAGCTGCTCTCTTGGTCAGAAGCCAACTATGGTCCTTTCCGCATTTGCCTGCCACTCCAGATTTTCTCAGTGTTCGAGTTGAGGCAATTTAAGTCCACGGCAAAACAGCATCCAAATAACCCGGGGCAACAGCAGGCTGAAACTGGGCTGACCACTGAAGGGAGGCAATGCAATGCAGAATGGGGGGGGGGGACCCAGGAAGAAGAAGAGATTGGATTTATACCCCGCCCTTCACTACCCAAAGTAGTCTCAGAGCAGCTTACAAACTCCTTTCCCTTCCCCTCCCCACAACAGACACCCTGTGAGGTAGGTGGGGCTGAGAGAGCTCTGACACAAACTGCTCTTTTTCAAGGACAGCTGTGCCAGAACTACGGCTTGCCCAAGGTCATCCAGCAGGTGCAAGTGGAGGAGTGGGGAATGAAACCCAGTTCTCCCAGATTAGAGTCCACACACTTAACCACTACACCAAATAAAAAGGTTGAACTCAATTTTAGTGCAGAATGGGGGGGGAACCCTGGATTAAAAAGAAACTTGAATTTGATTTTAGTACAGAATTGCTTGGAGGATACCACCGTGAACATGGATTAAAAGGAGAGTGCAGAAAGGGCCTATCAACAACTGAGGGATCATCTGGCAGTGTAATTCTGATCTTCCAGCACTTCTCTGTGCCCCCTTGCTGTGGTGGACATAGGAAAGTTTCAGAAGAGAGCTTGGAATGGAGGAAATGAGGCATCTTATCTCCCTACCTGCAAACAGGGAAATAAAATGCAGATCGCTGCCCACCTAACTTGGAGTGGGCGCAGGGAAATGAGATGCCAATTGCTTCTGTTCCCTCCTGAGCTTGGGGGATGGGGAACAGAAGCAATCAGCTTGTCATCCCCTCACCCCATGCAGGAGAAACTGATTGCTAATATTCTCTCCCCACTAGCTAGAGGCACAAGAACAGGAGCTAATTGCTTCTGTTCCCAGCACCCTAATAATTTCTTATGTCCCTCACTGCCATACTAGACATGATGGCATTGATGGGTCCAACCCATATAAGACAACATCATTTTAAAGAATTAAAAAATGCTGCAGTATGGCAAGCTGGTGTGTTCTAAATCCCCACCCCCACCTTTTCAAGTTTTAAAACATCTGCAGGGCATGCAACCGGATTGGGCCCTCACTACATTTTTAAATCACTTTGAAATGACAGTGACATCCATGGGTCTCTATCTCACACTTTCAGTGAATTCCAGGGAGGCTGTGGAAATTGTGAACCAGTACCCAGAGGCAGTTTTGGGGTAGATGGAGGCTAAAATATTCAAACTTAATCCCAACAAAACAGAGGTTCTACTGCTGAGGGGAAGCTTTGACTCAGGAATTGGGATATCACCTATTCTGGATTTGGTCACATTCCCTCTAATGGAGCAGATTTGTGCTTGGGGGTGGTGCTGGACCCAGGCCTCCTGTTGGATAAACAGGTGGCAGCAGTGGCCAGGGGTGCCTTTAGCCTGCTTTGTCCCCCCCCAAGGTTAGAAAGATCTTGCCACTGTGGTGCATGCCTTGGTAACATCTAGATTAGATTACTTCAGTGTTTTCTATGTGGGACTGCCCTTGAAAACTGTCTGAAAGCGACAGTTGTTGCAGAATGTTGAGGCCAGTTGTTGAATGGAGTCACCTGGTCTTGTTCCATCTACATGGCTTCCCAATTTGCTTCTGGGCCTAATTCAAGGTGCTGGTATTAACCTTTAAAACTCTATATGGCTTGGGGTCAGCACACCTGAAGGACCATCTTCTCACACCTGTTGTTATCATCTTATTGGAGGTCTGCTTCAGGTACCACTCCACCATCTGGGGCTAGACATGTGGCAACTCAAGAAAGGGCCTTCTTGGTCATGGTACCAAAAGGAACTCTCTCCCCAGAGAGATTCATCTGTCTCCCTCTATTGTTGTCTTCCACCAGTAGGTGAAGACTTTTATGTTTTGTTTGGCACACTCCCAATAACTATTATTGGCCCTAAGATATGGAGTCTTGTGAGCAAAAATTCTACTTTGTGAGCTACTGGCATTAAAGTTGTGAGTGAGCGATTTGGCTACTGCATAAATTAGTTTGCTCCGGAGCCATCCTTCCTGAGCTAAGACAAAAATGTGTGAGCTGGAGGCTAAAAAAACTGTGAGATAGCTCACACTAACTCAGCTTAGAGGGAACACTGCCCTGCTGCCTGGTTGTGTTGTTTTTTATTCAACATTTTTTCCAATATTTTTTACTGAACTGTCATTTTATATATACTTTATTCTAAATACTCTTTTAATGTTTCAGTGTTCACCACCTTGGGTGCCCTCTTTCGGTGGAAAGGCGGCACAGAAATGTTTTAAATAAATATATAAATAGTTTCACACTCAGGGAGAAACTGAGGAGAGAGATTGATCAGCTGTGCGCTGGGTTGTCTTCTTCCCTGCAAACTTCCCCCGGAGTGCCTGCAAGCCTGAGACACAGTGGTCCTTTCTGCACTTGGATCTCATTCCTGGTTTTATCAGAGTTTAACTCGGGACACAATATGTTGCATTTATCCCTGGTTATAACAGCGTCTGTTTATCCTGGGACACGTGTAGGGCAAAACTGGGGTGACCTCATTGTAATGTGGAAACAAAAAATACCTCGAGATAATTACAGGGGTGAACTCGTGTAGTGTGGGATTTAAGGTCTAGTGCGGAAAGGACCAGTGAGAAGTTTCCTGTTCAAATAATTGGCTCCCTGGTCACTCCAGGCAATCAGATGGTGACCTGACCCAGGGGATGTTCAAGCATCCCTGCTATACACTAGAATACACACGGATTGTGCTATACTAGAACTCTTACCCATGACATCTAGTTTTCTATGTGCATGGAGTTTTTATACAGAGGGACAAGATATCCCCCCCCCCCACATACAGTCTGAACTGATACACTCCAAGAACAGATTGGACATTTGGTCACTTGGCCTTAGTGTACTCTGAAATTACATAATAGGTATGTCTGTTTACCAAAGTCTCTTATTAAGTACTGTCATTACCAATCTGACAGTTACGGCTGTCCTTTGCTATTAAGGTAAACTCAAAATTCCTCAGTTACTATTCTTGTCCCATGAAGCAAATATGAAAATGTATCAGTTTTTTTTTTTATTTAGATACTGATCAAATTCAAGGTGTTAATAGGTATTCAAAGCAAGCTCTTCATTAAAGCTATATGCTTTGGCTAGGCACCACTGTTAATGGTATACATGAAAACCAGCTTTTACCTGCTTTCCAGTGTAAATTCAACTTCTAGTTCCTCCTTACCCTGAAAATAAAATACAAGCAAGTAAAAAACAGTAGTTATTTGCTCACAAATCCCTTCTAGCAGTAGAGAATTTATGATGCAATTAGATTTTAAGAAGCACCCCAATATTGGCTAGGGGAACTGGAAAAATAAGGATCAGTTCATAGTTTGTGGCATGCCTCATTCACGACATGGACTGTTACAAACTTTTAGCTGCCTCACAAATCAGTTGTATTTATGAGGTCCTTGAGACAGTAGAACATCCCCCCCAGTGTGCTAGAGACACCAAACTCACAGGAGATCTCTGGCTGACTCTTTTCTACCTGCCTTCCAAGTTTGGTGAGGTTTGGATTTACACCTGTCATTTCCCTAGAAAGTACTTTCCTAGGGGCACCTTATGGAAGGGACTGTAACTCAGCCAGAAATTCCCTCCAAGATTGGTGTCTCTAGCTTGCACAGGATTCATTCTATACACTCCTGAACCTCCTGAACCTGTGCCTATCAAAATGACAGCTGCAGTCATTTTGACAGGTGCACATTCAGGAGTACCTAGAATGGATCCTGTGCAAGCTAGAGACATCGGAAGTATAATAAATAAAGAAATAAATAGCCACCCAATGCCAGTATCTCTAATTTCAGTCCTGACCTTTGGATTCAGCTGAAAATTCAGACGGACTGTTTCTCCAAGATGGATTTTAGACACATCAAAGAAAACAGTGAGGAGATGATCATCTTCAGTGTGTTTATCTTCATCACATACTTGGAGCTCTAGAATATTCTGTGCAAAGTCAAAGAAGAATGTTAGAGCATGAACCTAGATTTCAATTAATCCTTTCAATTTTGCAACATGCGACTCCATCAGGCTCTTTTGTACTTTCTGTAGCAAAAGAGTGAATTTAATGTAAGGTTGCCAGGTCCATCCTGGCAATTGGTGGGGGATGAGGGGGGGACTTACCAGAAGAAAGAGAAAGGCCCAGGCCACATTGCCAGCATCGCACAGGAAGCATCACACCAGCATTTTCCAGGCAACACTCTGGTATTTAGGCAAAAATTCTATGGTAAAACCAGCTTCTACCATAGAGTTTTTGCCCAAATATCAGTTGGAAGCTGCTGGTGTTATGACATCACTTCCTATGTGACACCAGCAATGTGGCCTGGGCCTTCCTCTTTCTACTGGTAAGTTCCCCCTCTGACTATCTGATCAGCAGCTGGGTGGCAGGGTCTGGGGGTGTCTGGTAATCCTAATTTAATGTCATATACTTATGGCATAATTATATCAATTCTATGCATGTTTTGCATGTTTTTGTTTGCTAATTATGCATACTGAGCATAAACATAAAACAAATATTTATTGATCAGCAGACGTAAGTGTAGTTCTGCTACACAATATTTGCCATAAAAAGATATTTCAAGCACCTTTAGTTAATGGACCTACTTTGGACAGAGAGAGAGAGCACAATCTCAAGCTATCTCCCTCCTACAATACATGAAAGACATAATATTTGGAGTTTTTAGATGTATTAACAGATGGACTCCACAAGGTAACCTCTTAAAACATAGCGTGCAGCACTTCTAACTAAAGGGAGAGGAGTGGAGTTCAGCTCAGCATTGTAATGGAAGTAATGATGACCATTAGTACAGGTGACTTTAAAAAGGAATTAGACAGATAGGGAGGAACCTACATACAGTGATGGTAAACCTAAGAATAGCACTGCTAGGAGGCAAAGAAGGCCTTTGCATCTATGTCTTGTTTGCCAGCCCTCCAGGGCAGTTGGAGGCCACTGTGTGAAACATGACACTGGACTCAATGGACCACTGGTCTGATCCAGCAGGGCTTTTCCTCTGCTTCCTTAGATTTGGGGGCATCTGCAGAGGCTGTCACAAGCCTCAACTGCATAGTCAGAGATTATCTCTCCCTATGTTTGGTGGTGAAAAGGGCCGTCAAGTCACAGCCAATTTATGGTGACCCCACAGGGTTTTGAAGGCAAGAGATGAACAGACATGCTTTGCCATTGCTTCTGCTTAGCTTCTGAGATCTGATGAAATCAGTCTAGTCTGGCCCATCCAGGTTAGGGCTTCCCTATTTTTCCAGGTGCCGTATAGTAAGCTTTTAAGCAACATCTTAATGAAGATGAGATGGCTGCCTTCTCCAGGCACAGCCTGCATAGATGTGAACCTCAACAACCATTGTTTATATATTTACAATTCTTAAAACAGTACCAAGTTAAACAATTTTTTCAGTGTGAACTGAATAGAAATGTTTGTAGATGAGAAGCCAGATACCCATTTGCTGGAAGGCAGCAGAAGAGGTAGCTTCTCATTGGTTGTGTGCACATAACCTAACATTAGGTTTCACAGTCAGCCACTGAATACTACCTGTGATAAGATTTGAAAGCAGTTAAAACCACGAACTTTTATAGTCAGGAACTGCAAACACCCTTTACATGTTGTTATAAATCTCAAGGGTTTTTAAAATGATCGTATGATCCTTATGATCTTATTTAGCCTTCATGACTGGTAGGTCATGTAATTAGCAAAGAATCAAACACTCCTCTAGGGCTGCTAACTCTGGATTGGGAAATTCCACAAGATTTGGGGGCAGAGCCTGGGGAAAGTGGGGTTTGGGGAAGGGAAGGACCTCAGCAGAGATGTGGTGCCATACAGTCCACCCTCCAAAGCAGCCATTTTCTCCAGGGGGATTGATCTCTGTAGACTGGAGATCAGATGTTATTCCATGAGATCTCAAGGCCTGAATGTTGGCAACCCTACACTCCTCACAAGAGCTAATCCCTGGATGGTACCACCTCTTCTATAGGTTTGATTTCTTTCTCTTTCCCTATTATTATAATATTTTCTCCAAGAAAGTGGAAAAGTCATTGTTTTGAATTTTTGTCATGCTGAGAAGCAATGATTAGGACTCTACTCTGACCAAAGAAGTGGCCCTATTTCCAACTGGCTACCACGTGGCTCCCTGTTATTTATCCCTATGCCCAGTTCACAAAATTGGCCTAGATATCTGCTGAGTGAGTGTATTGTAGCTCTAGTCCTTACCTTTACTTGATTCTGAATTCTATAGTGAAAACTTTCATTCCACACTGGGTCTTTGTTATCCTTCACAGTATGGGTCTTTTCCTTTTTCATTGAAGCAGTTGGCAGCCATAAAGTCACATAACAGTCAGACTGGGTTACTGTTTCAAACAATAGATTTGTTTAGAGGCTATACAGCAACAGGTAATATTGTTCAAAGCTATTTTAAATTGTACGTGTGCCTGCCGTGATCTGGATCACACAAGTGGCTTGTATCTTCAGTTAGAGCACTGGGCCTCCAATGAAAAGAGTACAGGAGAAATTCCCTCCCATTTGTACAAGAATGGGTGGAATGATTCCTACAGTTTCCCTCTTGTCACTGCAGCCTCCTGCATCATACTACATGCCATTCCTGATGGTCCACTGACCCTGAGGAGCAACTTTACAGGGGATAGGTGGACTGCAGCATGAAGGGGCAAGTAGCAATGATCAGGTCCTGGGCAGAGTGTCCTTCTAAGTTCTCTGGATCCAAAGAGTATTCCTTAGGATGCTCTACATAATAAATTAACAATGATGAAGCAGTTACAGTGCCAAACCAGTTCTGGGGAGACCTGACTTTAAATCCCTACTCAACGGTGAGGCTGACTGAGTAGCCTTGAAAGTGACTGGTCACAACAGTTTAAATACATCTTCAATTAAAAAGTTAGATTTTTTTTAAACTATCGATATTGCATGTCAGATGGCCATTAAATAAGCAAAAAAACTTATTCCCATTTATCGATGTACTGTTCTAATATTATACTTCCATGCGTTCATTTTTAAATTGTGTATAGGCAAACAGCCAGATAAACATTTGTGCATTGCTGGCTGGCTGGACATGAATATGTAGACTTGCCATTTGTCCACTAGCAGCAGGCAATCCCCCATCCCTCATAATTTTAGGAGCGGTAGAAAAGGGGGGGGGATGGTACGGATGGTGACACTCCAGGAATTTCCCCTACTTTCTATGGTATTTAACGATTAGGGAAAATTTCTAGAACATCAGCTGGGAGTGACATCACATCCTCCTGAAAGTTCTCCAGGCACTGCTCCAAACATCTCCCAGTATTTACTAGTGCAGGGCTGGATTATTAGATTTATTCCCCGCCAAAGCAGGCTCAGGGCAGCTTATATAAAAGTCTTAAAACAGTTTAAAAACACATAAAATCTAAAGTGCAAGACTTCTATTCATATTTGACTCTTCTCATAACATAAACTCTACACCTATTTTATCAGGGACAACAACGAAGGTTCCAACAATACTTGTCCCCAATAACTGTCCCAGAACATGTATCTTATGTACCAAACTGAACATAGCCCATCAGCCATATATTGTGGACTGCCAAGTACTTGACTGCATATGTACACAGTATGATCAGGGGAACATCAAAGCTAGCAAACAAGCAGAGTAGACGTTTGCATCCAGAAGGCTCCGGGTTCAATTGTGATACAGTAAAGATCTTATGTAGCACATTTGAGAAAAACGTTTGTCAGAGACCAAAGAAGATCACTGACAGAGCCATAATCGGCTAAAGAGATCAAAGTGGGTTGGATACAGCAAATGGATAAAAGAAAAGGAAACTGCAGCAGTTACAGCAACACATAGTGCTTTAATATAATTTTTAACAAAATGCCTATGGAGCAATGGAATGTATAAGAGATTATTCATCTGATTTTATTTAATTTGGCTTTGAAATTGTATCAGCAGATGTTCTATTATACATATTGTGCATACAGAGAAGATAGTTAGGGATACAGGGAAGATAGTTTTAGTGCAAGCAAACAGCAAGGAGTAATTTTTAGCACTTCCATAGGAACCACTGCACATGTGAGAAATCTTCCATAGGATTCTGCCCTGTATATCTCAGCTGTTTTATATGTGACCTCTTCTTTTCTCAGGCCCATGATAGGCAACAAACACATTTTTATTAAGGCTGCCATACCTGAGTGGCTTCAATGTGTTTGGTTTTGGGAGTCACAAATTGAGTATGCCTAGTCTAGCTAACCTTGCATGCATTCCAAAGGTTCACGAACTAGCCAGCAATTCTTTTATTTACCAGGAATCCAAAAATACAGATAAATATGAATATCGCCAAATCTCATGTACACCACAAGTAGAAAATTCCTGATAATTATATTGAGGAGGTCCCCTTTTTTAAGTACTTAGGGGGTTGGCTTGACCAGAGATTAACTTGGTCAGTGCAAGATGCTCATGTTAAAAGATTGGCTACAGTGGCATTAAATATAATCTGGTTGTTGTTGTTGCTTCTAAATTCATCTGGGGTTCAGTATATCCCGGCTACCATCAAACTGTTTAACGCCAAGGTGGCCATTCAAAGTTTATATGGGGCTGGTATTTGGATTGATAAAATAGGGGAGTCCTTGGATCAAATTATTTTTAAATTCTTATGTTCCACTTCAGGGATTCTGAATTGTGTAGTAGGGGTGGCCCCTCTGAGCTGAATTGGAACAACTATCTCTTGAAGCTTGGGCTTAGTTTAAGTTTTTTCCCCCCTTAAAGTTAAAATTATATACTCTGACACTACCTCAGCATAGTCAGAGAGGTTTCTTATGTTTCCCATTGGGATAAACTTGCTGATCATCGACTCCAACTCCTCAGTCTTTCCTTCATTCAGTTACCAGAACAATTAAGAAACATCTATTTCAGTATGATTATAACAGTACAATCTGTCAAGCATGACATGTTTGTTCTACTCAGTTTGCTGGTATTCTTCCACCTGGAGAACTTCCCAATTACTGCCCAATTTGGCTGTTCCTTAGTATAGGCATGCCTTTATGCTGGCACATCTTAATGCCATGCCATCTAGAGCATTACAAGGGAGGTATCTTAAGATCCCATGTTCTGATAGAGTATGCAACTGTGGTGCAGATAGTGTAGACACTCTGTATTACGTGGCCTGTGAATGTAATTACAATTTTGAGCCAAGAAATCTTTGAATTCTTCTTTGCTCCAAAGTATAGATCATATGGAGACATTTATGGGTTAAATGTTTTTTAAAAATTGCCTTGGAATCACAGAAGCTTTACACAGGCCCCGGTCACATGGGTTCACTTTTGACGTGCCGCATCAGGGGAAGGGCCAGATCGGAGACGGGTGCGCAACGCCAGCCAGATGTTGGCGTGGGATCACGCCCGTTTGCTCCGTCTCCAATCCGGCCCACTCCCGGCCCAAAACGCCTTGTGTGAACAGGGCCTAACAAATGGTTTGCTACGGGCCATTGATGGAATACCTACATGTGATCACTCAAGCACACTCGCCGTGTTCACACGTGCTGGAAACATGTGCCGACAAACAAAACCCCAATTTGCCGCCACCGCGTCTGATCGCATTCTGGTGCGTTAAATTGCACCAGCGTGAAAAGCCACGCCTCTTTCCTGCGTTATCTGGCCCATGTGACCGGGTCCACGATATCCCTGATCCTCCATGTTTCCCAGTTAAGGGGGAAATGCTGTTCAAATAAATTATAAAGGTGATCTGACTCCAATGGTAACAAGAGAAAGAAATTTTACTTCAAAAATAGAAGCACATCTTACCTGACAATATTAATGTAGGTACATTGTCCTACATGTGAATTGATTAACTTCAAAAATATTAACTTGCTACAGCTCCAAGCCCATGGAAAAGAGAGAAGTCCTACATAAGATGAAACAGAAAGGCAAGATACAGCCAAGCAGGCTTAACATCTAATGGAAGAGAGAGTGGAGCCAACAGCCAAGTGTACCAAGCAGAGAATTCTCTTATCCCTTTCCTTCCCAGATACCTCTTGCATGCAGAGCTGCAATATCCAACAATATTACCTCTCTTATTAGAAGATAATAGCAGACCTATCACTCTTTTACCTGCGAAATTTTATGTGTTTGTGACAGATTTTCACAGCTGTTCAAACGGGGTCTAGTTTTTTATTTTTTAGTAATTTGCTTGAACTAATATGTTAAGAAGCAGTATGAGGTAGAGAGAAAATGTTGCCAATCATGTGTTTTGTTGATGATAACGGACAAGGCTACTTCCCTCTTTAGTGGAGAATGACATACATCCAGATACTGAAGAATAGACTTTCCTCATGTCCCTGTTACACAAGCATAACAGCAACACTATGTTCAAACAAGATTGCACCATCTTCCTTCCACTTTTGTGGCTGCTGATACTGTGACACATATATATGACTCCTATGACAACTGATGCTCTACAGTCAGACACCATTATGAGAACAGCCATCACAAATCTCCATTCCACCTCATAAATCTCTGGAGCAGATTCCTGATGACTACTTAGTGCACAAAGCAGAGCTATTTACATTTTATGGCATCACAGGCATTTCATCAAAGCTAGCAAACAAGATATTAATTACTGCAATACCAACCAGGCTGGGCGTAATTGTGATGCATAACCGGAAAGCATGAGAAATATCTGAACTACCTAGGTAAATGTCTACCACATGTATCAAACAAAAAACAAGGACTTATTACAAGGAATCACATGACAGCCCTTTATTTTCATATACATACACCCACATATTTTAAGTGTACCATCCACATCCTGTTGGAATAAATGGCAAATCTTCACTTGAACTGAATTAACAAAAGAATTGCCATGCCAGAGTAGGCCTATCTAATCCAACATTCTAGCAGCAGTTGCACATGGAAAGGATATATATATATATATATATATATACAGTTTTCCTGGTTCCAGATACTGGTTTGGCATTTGGATTCTTTTTCCCCCCAGGATTCCAATATTATTCAGCTCTGTTATTCACTATGGAGAATCTTTCTGGTGGTCTGTACAAGCTGTTTTTAAGCTAATGGCACCAAAATTGCAGTGGCACCGCCAATGTCAGTTTCAAGTTAATTGGGCCAAAAGGTCCAGTTCTATGGACCCCTGAACAAGGTGTCCCCAGCCATCCTCTATTGTTTCCTATGGGGGCAATTTCTCAAGGACAAATAATAACCAAGCACACAAGAGCAACCAAAGCAACTACTGACCCAAAGCCTCCCAATACAAACAGAACCAGCAAACCTGAAGAACCAGAGCTGAACCTTGGAATCTCAGCAGAAGCATGAGACATTGTGGCAAGCCTAACACAACAAATTTCAAATCAGAGACTCCAAGC